AAATCATAATAAAAATTATCTGTTATATTGTTAATATCTTAAATGTATTATATTATCTATGATGTTAAAAAATCTTCGTCAAATTCCAAGCCAGAAGATTTGTGAATTTTAAACAAATACAAGGTTCACTATATAAAGAAAATAGAAATACAACACATGAGGATAACTTTGTAATAAAATAAAATGAAAAACAAAACACCCCTAATTTGCCTATCAAAATCGGAAGGAAGGTGGCACTGAAGAAATAAACCAAAAATAATTCATATTTTCTCCTAAGACATATTATCACTTTTACATAATTACCATTAATCAGGGCCATGAACCGAATTTATTTTCACACTATCATCGTTGGAAATTTTGGTGAAAGAAATGAGGCCAAGTTCGTTTAGGCTGCAACTTGTTCATGTTTCCGTTTGTTGAATTCTGAAATGATCAAAATTTCACCAAAACTTCTATTGATTAGTCTGGCTACTACACCTTGCTATCTGTCTCTGTTACATGTTCAGATTTATCTGATAGAAGGGGTTGTTCCAAATCTATCCTACTACTTATCTCATCATCTTGCAAGTTTGATTGTGGTGCCGCTGGTTTAATCTCAGCAAACTCTTTGGCTTTACCCCAAAGCACAATATACAAACCAGCAATAACTCCAACAGCCCCTATCAAACTGAAAAAAGAATCAAGCATATGATCAAACAATTCATATACTAATGTATAATATAATTAACAAACACTGTTTGAGCTAATTTCTTCATGAACAAGAAAAATAATAGTGTATTACCTTCCGATGTATAATTCTTCTTGTAAGAATGTTGCACTTATGAAAGCAGTGATTACTGTTGCTAAAGGGTTGAACATTGCACAGTATAGAGGACCTCTTTCTGAGATGCACCAGGATTGAATAAAGAAACTAACCGCTATTCCGAGTCCCTATTTCATAGAATAACAATCAAAATCATTACTATAACATACCAGTAATAGTGATACAATTTTCCAACAAGGCACGGATGTGCCACTGTTGTATTGTACTACACAACAAATAATTACTAATTCAACTTTTACTGAGTGGGCTGAAACTTACTGCGTATAAAGAACATGAAATCTGTAAAGGTGAATGCAAAATCCATGCTTCAAGATCCGGCTCTGAGAGTAGGGCAAATAAGGCTGACTGTACTGTTGAAAAGAGACACATCCAAAAGGTTGATAATAAATGGTCTGGGCAGGACGAAGCGATTGGTACCTGATTGTTAGTTGAAGTTTTGTCAGATCTCCACTGATGGAGAAAGGAATCATCCTAGAATATTCTTCTTTTTATGGCAAAAGTTTACTTGTACTATGTTTCTTCGAGGCAATTATTTGGTCGCTCAGTTACGTTTTTGGTGCTAATTTTTATATTACATACAACTAGTTATCATCTGTATATTAACGATTTTAAATAGACGTAATTTTAGATTAATCTGAATTAGAAACATGTGTTAAGTTCAGACTTTTTAACATTTCTCTAAGGGTGTATCAATGGAAGTAGGAAAAAATAAACGAAGAAAAGTAGATCTACAGTGATATATGGGTTTCTATTTACCTGCAGGATCATCCAACAAGACCAGAAAACACTGCTTGCTAAAAGCAATAGACAACCCAGCAGCCAATCGTCACCTTCACTACTGCCAGTGAGATGTATAGAAGGAAGGAACTCTGTGTGTAAGAGTTTATGTCCTTTGACCAAGGCCATGGTTAAGGCTCCACTAACACAGCAAATTGTCCCTAATATCTTCGCCATGCTTCTCAAGCTTCGTAGTTCAAGTTTCTCAAATCTGACACATTCATTTTAAGAAAACACACGTATCAGCAAAAGAATTATATATGATTTTTCCTCTTTTATATTGTTAATTAATTAGTTATATTGTATTTTAGTTTAAGTAATTCTGATTTAAATCTCTTCTCTCTTGTTTTTCTTTTTTTCTTTTTTTTTATGTCGTGTATAGTTAGAGTTCACGTATATTTTTAGAGCCAATACCCCGCGATTGCTGCAATTACAAACGTTAAAGCAGGTATCAGATTACTCATTGCTGTAGCTGCAGTAGAAGATGAATAATATAAACCTCTGAAATACGCATTCTGATTTGCTGTGACTCTGCAAGGGAAAAAAAAACAATCTTGGGGTAAGTCTTCTAATCCTTTTTATTTTTTGGTATAGAAACCAGAGAACGTTAGAAGAGGTTTTGGAAAACCGTACCCAACAAGAGCGGTGACGAACATCAAAAAGACGCTCCTGAATCCCAAACAACTTTTTACCGATTGTCTCCTGTTATGAAAAGGCAGAGACGTGTGTGGTTAGTGAAAAATTTTAAGAGTAACCTAAAGAGAGGAAGAGGTGGTTTAAGTATTACCTCTTAGAAGAGAAAAACATAGGGGCCAAAGCCAAGGTTGCTATGCCTTGCCTGTACACTACAAAGACTGTTGTACTCAACCCATCTAACAGGGCTGCTCTTGTGAAGATGGCAAGTGCTGCATAATGAACTTGCAGACCTACCATAACAATTAGAGGAAGATGACTTGCTAGACTACCCATTTTTTTCAGATACAATCTAAAAGTTGGAATGTTTTCCCACCTTCTATTACATATATGGAGAGCAGGGGGTGGATCTATTTATATCAAGCCAAGTTCAATTTCTACACCACTTCTCTGTAACATTATCATTATTATAAAACACAAATAAAAAAAAAGGGAAATGTGAAATTATTTTAGTAATGTCACAGGCCATATTTCTTTATCTCTAGAAATATCTCTGGAAACAACTCAGGTATGGTAAGAAATTAAGTATTGAATTTAAACTGTTATTCACTTCCTTAAAAGAAAATGGTTATTAAATGAATGATTATAAAAGATATGAAAACGGGTATTTGAGAATTATTGTTCATTTAGAATTTAAAAAGTTATTGAACCAATGATAATCGTATAGAATAATTTTTTAATCCCTACGTGGCAATCAAAATATGTATGTGGGTATTTTTTATTTATTTTTACATCAGCTTTTTACCAAAAAGTTCAACCTGAAGAGTGATCGATAATTTGAAATCAATTTCTACCATAGATATCATATCTCTCGTCAAGACACGTGCGAGGGATTACTGCTTCAAATACTACCATAAAAACCAGTGATAAAACGGGGGCGACTTTTAGCCACCATCACACACAAAAAAGAAAAAGGAAAATACAAGTCGACAAATAGACAAATTAATGAAGAGGGACACATCCACGTTCGTGAATAATAGGTACCAAAGATAAGGTCAGGATACGCGGAGATTGGGGATCATCGAGAGATGAAATACACCTAGACACGTTTAAAAGAAAAGAAAAAAGCAAGAAACGAAACTTCTAGTAGGAAAACAATGACTCGATGATCCATGTAAGACGCTGAATCGTTTATGTTTTTTTTTCTTACCAACTGCATTTACCCCAGTAGATATATATAACTATGAATCTGAAAATTTTTTTGTATAAAATTTAATTTTCATAGAAAAAAATGAATTTGATTATTTTGAAGAGATATTTTAAAGTAATGTGACGGGCTATAAAATTTAAGAGTAAAATGTATTTTGAAAAATAAAATTGAGTTGTTGATGGAATAATGTTAGAGTAGATCTAAATGTTGAGTGGTGAAAAAGAATTGAAGGTGTTTGGGAGGAGCATAAATAAGAATGGCGTGGCATACATAAGGTTAGGTAAATAATGCCAATTGCCAAAGTGGCACAATAAACGGAGTCCAATCAGTGTGATTGAGAAGATAGGATGTCCACGGCAGTGAAGGCCAGGTCAACATTATTGGAGGGGACACACCACTCAGACATCTCGAGACTTCATGTTCATCTTTAATTCATATACTCCACACACACATAGGTTTCAATTTTCAATTCATAATTATTTTCCTTCGATATTTGTCTTTTTCCTTAAGCGGTGGCAGTTCTTGGCGTACGACGCCATCATCAAACAAAGAAAATAATTAAACGCACAAAAGGATATACTCGGATCAGAATCAGATTAGTTTTGATGTAACATTAATATTAATAAACAACTTCACCCATTGGTAATACTCTTAAAAGCCCCACTCCCAGAGATAATTATGGAACCATATATTACCATGAAGATTCCAGTAATGACTCGGCTTCTCCTTTTGTCATCAATATCTAGTGCTTCCTCTGTTCAGTTGTACAAAAGTGTTATTCACAGACACACGTACAATAAAAAATTAAAAAAGTGGAAAGTGGAAAGTGAAAATTATGTTTATCAAACTTTTGTGTAATGACATGTACAATAGAAAAATAAAAAGTGAGAAGTGAAAATTGATTTGTGTAGAGACAAATACAGAGAAAAGTGAAAAGCGAAAGTGACAAGATGAAATGCGAGGATTGAGAGAGAATATGTATATTATAAAAATATTAGTGTGTATAATTAATGCCAGAGAGTCCAGTGCACTCGATGTTACACGTTCATTACACATGAAATGTCAGACAGAACAGTTGTTCATTTGTTCACGGGTAACTCTTATCGAAATGGATCAACTGCGAGCACGTGCCAAAGCGATCGATCGTTGGTTCTGTGGAACAGTGTATATATATACTAGTACTTTTCTACCTTCTACAAGAGTATTAGTAGTGGTAGAGCATTAAATGAAGGAATAAAATGCATTATTGGGAGAGTTTTGTCATAGCACAACCAAATTGACTCTGACATTAACCCACATCATTTCTTGGGCGAAACTTTGATATTATTGTCATGATTGATTGAATTTGGTTGGTTCAATCTTTCCGCCTTCAAATTATTAAAAACTATTCTCCGCATATTCTATTGCCAAATGTACCTTTTTCTTTAACAATTAAACGTGAGCACTTTTGTCTATAAATTCAAATTTCCAGTGATCACACTGCGACCTTCGAAATAAAATATGTATACATCTCGTGCGGATAATTTATTATCTTATTTTGTTGAATGGAAATTAAATAAATAAACAAAATGATTGTTTTGTTGAATTATAGAAGAATAAGATGAAATACGTAGTTTTATTTATTTATTCAACATCTCTTCTTTTTACTCAACAGAACCTAATCTGAAAAATATGTCCGTGTTATTTTCATGGTCGTGAATAAGTCCATATTTTGTGTTGAAATTCATAATTGATGGCTTCCTTAACCAGCACTGCCAATGCATCGTCGCCGGCTTATTATGCTTCCTCTTGTCATCTACAAACTTGCCAAACCCCATGTGGCTGTCATGTTCGAATAAAAACTGAAATTCGTTTTCAGAATTTCAATACATATTTTTTAAATTATATAACATAAAATAAAAAATGTCGTTTGAAAGTTTTACTTAACCCAAAAGTATTACAAACTTTTACTTTAACTTAGTTTCCCCAATTCATATAGTTTTTATATAATAAGTATTCAGATAGTGTGATAAATCCTCATATTGTCACTCTTTAATATTTGAATAATTATGTCTCATCTAAAACTTAGTTTTATAGTTTATTCTTAAAGTTTAGATTTTCTTTATATAAGATTTAATTCTTAATTCTGAGATTTCTACCACTAAACATTATTACATTTAATTGAAATTGTTATTATAAGAAATTTAATCTTAAATTTAAGATTCTGAGAAGGAGATGGCTTCAAAAGTAAAAGGATTGTTGCGTAGTGTATCAAATATTTGTTTACCATGGATTCCATAATGGGAGAAAGAAGCAGGAAATATTATCAAAGTGGAAGACATTTTCGTAGTCTTGTTCTTATCCTTTTTTCCATGTTCCTGTTACTGTAAGAATTGCCATCCACCTTTATAATTTAGCACAACAACATTAAAAAACAAACTCCACCGGCTTAGAAGACCTTCATTAACATTGTGATAACCTTATTCAGGTGAAGTCCGATCATTCATTGCTTAATCCATAATTAAAAAGTTTATTACGAATATTTTAAAAGCTAAGAGTGTCTATATATCTACAAATATTTTAAAATATATATTTTATAAATTTTTAAAATAAAATTACAAAAAAAATATAAAATATAATATAAATTAACTTAAATATAAATTAAATTTTAATTTTAATTAAATTTAACTTAATAAAATATAAATTAAATTTTAATTTTAATTTTTTACACATAATAAATACCTACTAATATAAATAATATAATATCCCAGATATTAAAATATTAACTACTGATAAATACTTACAAATATTAACTATCCAATAAAAATTTTACGCACAAATAGATATTTTTCTGATCTCTACCAAACGCATCTTCTGAAGCTCTTCGTAAAATCATGTATGAGGTGCTTTTATATGACATCACGTCACTAGTCCTTCTTTTTAATTTTCTCTCATTTTTATGTTGTTTGGAATAATACTTGCGGATAAACTCATCTAACACATCATTAATCACAATTTAATTCATTAAATAAAATTTAAAACAGTCACAACTCACTTACATTTTCAAAACATCATATCTTCATCAATGTGTCAACCATTCAAAATTATGCTTTATTTTTTATTATTTAATTGAAAACTTAACAAAATAAACGTTTCCGTTATAAATAATTACTTAACGATTATAGATGAAAATAATCATTTAAACTTTTTAGTTATAAATAGTATTTAAAATCTTGCATTAAATTTTCAGTTAAATAAGAAAAAAATTATTTTTAATTACTTAACGATTATAACTGAAAACAATCATTTAAACTTTTTAGTTATAAATAGTATTTAAAATCTTGCATTAAAATTTTCAGTTAAATAAGAAAACAAAATTATTTTTCTTTAAAAGTAATAAAACAGAAAAGCTTTTCTAATTCTACACAAATTTTTTACACTAAATTAATTGAAAAATAAAATCTTGAAATTATTTATGACTAATTAAGTTAAATATACATATTTTCAAAAGCTGAAACTTTTAATAAAAATAAATAATTTATTTTTAATGTTATAAACATTTTTAAATAATAACTTATAACTGAAAATTTATGTTTGAATTAAGTTTTTCAGTTAAATAATAAAAATAACAAATTTATTTTTCATTCAAATAAGAAAATTTGAACTTTTCTTTTGAATTAAGTGTTCAATCAACGAATAAAAATAATTTTAAAACATGCATACATTAAATAGTATGCGTTAAAATATAAGAGAATGATGAGCGTTCTAATTTTAGATTAATTAATCATTAAATTATGATTGGTTGTTTTTAAGAAAGATATCATAGGTGCAAGATTTACTCTAATTTGAACAATGAATTTTATTATCTCATGTTTCTTTCTTATCATGCCGTGGATTGAATGTTTTATTTATCTCTCTTCTCTCTTATTTCTCTTTCATTAAGAAGATAGTGAAATAATGGGAAAAAAATGAAAAAAATTCTTTGTTAGCAAGGATATAAAGAAAATTAGATAATTTAAAAATATGCGAAATTCATTGTAATATTTCTCATTTATTTAAGTTTGCTTCTATATTTCTCTCTTCATCTTCATCTTTTTTTCATATTTTTTTTATAAATAAACTATTATTACTTTATTTTTATTTTTTTAATTTATTTTTGTCCTACTTTTTCTTTTAATTTCCTCCACGGAAATAAAATACTAATCTT